TAAAGTATCACAAATTAAACAGCACTAACATGTTCAGCAACGACTTCTGCAAGTTGCACCCACGCAATTAGGCCAGCCAACTCTGTCTGCGGAATCTGCGGCAAGGGATGTTGCTGCCCTGCGGATTCCTGCATCACACGCGACGGTCGGCCTTTCCGCTGTTTAAAATAGCCAAGATAGTCATGCAGCGCCTTCCAAAAATGATCCCAACAAAGGGAGCTTTCACCTGAAACAATCAGTCGTCCACGAAATCAACAGCTCCCTCAAGTAAGAGGAACAGCTTTGTAAATTTGCAGAAGATTTTACAGAAAGTCAAATTTGATAACAAACAGAGCCTGAAAATGTATGAATTAAACTGAGTAAATGAATAGAAGTCAAAATAACCATATTTTTCCGGGCTTGACGAAAGCAGTTCGAATATAAAATGCGCGGATTCTTGACATTTGCAGATGTTTTTAACCATATCCAGAAAAGCAACTTGCAAGACCGGGGAAATTAGTCGTCGACAATTCTTCAGAAATCTCACCAATTCTTCCTGGATCACATTATTCATCTTATAAGATATATATCATGGTAGGTTCGCGTGCCGTAGGCCGAGCACAATAAATGGCTAGCGCATTGACTGCCGGGGCGAAGATGCGTTTTTTGCATAGCTCCTCGCAGGTTCTTGTCGCTAACGGCACTATTTTTCCGGCAGATTTTCTAGCTAAGAGAACTGAGGCTGGCCATCAGGACCGACTGAAAACATTCCCTTAAATTTCTAGCTTTCTAGCTTTCCCGGTTTCCAAGTTAGCAACTTACCCGCAAAAAACATTCACGGGCCTGTAAATGGGAACCGTTTGGGTAAGAGAGCCTATTTTGGGGAGGGGGGATCGTATGTGCAGGTACACTTCATTTCCAAAATTTCAGCCCTGTAGCTTTTGTAGGTCTCGAAATGAAAAATCGGTACAGGCGAACATACAGACAACCCCTCGACAATATGCATTTCTTCACAAAAACGCACAGAAAGGATTACAATAGGGATAATGTTGTTGTTCCGGTGCTCTCAAAAGTCAGGAATAACTGTGCTAGGTTCATCGATCTTATGCTGTACATATCCAGTTAATATCTACTGCTACTCAATGCGCGGCGGTTACTTTTTCGAAGGCTGCCCAAGCGATCGTTTATTTTTTCGCGAGCACTACCCCCATAATTTGCAATATCTTCAGAATGTTATAAATAGCGTAAAAATCAACGTCACAAAACAATATAAATTTTTGTAAAGCATAGGGTTTAGATAACAATTTAAAATTTTGCCATCCGTTCTTTTTTTTTTTGTAACTTCTAACTTACATTTTCGTGCGAGCAAAACTGTGCAGACAAGTGTACAGAATGTATCGAATTGCCATCGTAGAGGTCAGCGATGCCACGAATCAAATTTTCAAAATGAAGCATGGGCTTGGAGAGATGGCCATGCTGCAGTTCATCCTCAACATTCTGCAGTTCCATTTCACCGGCGCGTTGCAGCAGCATTACCTGAAACAGCAATTTTAACAAATAGAAAAGCGCAATTTTTGCGCGTTAATTATTCTCATCCAATTAGACCGAATAAGTAATACTTCAAGCAACGGATGAAAGAGTGCTCACTTGATTAGTGAAATGAGCAAGGAAATTTTTGATTAGTGTATCAACAACCGAAAATGC